ATGAAAAATCTTTCTGGGGATCTGGATTTCTTTTATCATCACTTGAAATGTTTGGAAAGTCATTAATATTTGCACTCTTCTTTTATAACATGTATGAATGAAAACAGCCTTTTAAAGCATTTTTGGTCAATTTCCATTCTGAAGGCAATTTGATTCTCTGAGGTTTATTTATTTATTTAGAGACTGCAAAAGGTTACTTACCTAAAATCTTATGTAATAGCATTTTATGACTAAACACTACTTCTAATCATGCACAAAACCAGAAGGAAATATTAATGACATCTTTAAATGTTTAATGTGACAAGCATGGAAAAAACAGTTAAAGAACACAACTGTATGTTGGGGAAAATATTAATAGCAAAATTACTTTAAAAGTAATTAGGCTTTGGGCTTTCTCACCCTCACTCTCCCAAGTCATTTTCAGGGCTCAGATCTTGAGAGCTTTACCCAGGGCTTGACATTTTCCTTCTAAATCCACACACAGAAGGTCATACCCATGTGTAGGCCTCTCACTCTTATTGCAAAGAAGTATGTGGTGAGCATGGTAATTTGTCTGTGTAAGGACTGAAGAAGCACCTCAGAATTTAGCCTAAGAAAAGCAAAGGATCATTTATTCTTCTGATATATAGTGCTTTATGGCACACCCAGGAAGAAAGGTTGCATCAGCTGAAAAGCCAGCTTCTCTTCTTTGCCTCAGGGATAAATGCATCATTTCTCGTGCATTCTGCAGAAATCTCTTTCCCAATTTTGGCTTCATAGACATTGTTGTGACCTTGCACGATCCATCCATGTCTCATCACTCAGAGCAGCTGAACTAGTTTACATTTTCAATAGCAATGAGAAACTCCCCAGAGTCAATGAATCGTAGACATCATGAACTTCTGACCAGTGTGAAGTCATTCAGAAATCTATTTCCCAGCAGATCTCTGCAATCTCTGGTATTCCTATCAGGTGATTAATACACTATCAGGGTTCAAAGCTCATAATACCACAGAAAGGCAAGGAAATTTAGATGATAAGGAGTACAATGTGCAAACAGCTGTGGCTGTTGCAAAAGTCCTTTGAAGATGGAGATGGTCTACAATCAATTGCATCATCTTACATCTGTTCACAGTTTTAAGAGTTTTAATACATAATTGTTGTCTTCCATCACAAGAGCACTGGAAATGAATTAATAATGCCATAGGAGGTGTATTTATGAAACATATATGTGTGTATGTTAGAGAGCAAGGGCATGCTACAAGGTGGACCAGGTAATATCTTTTATTGGACCAACTTCTGTTGGTGAAAAAGACAGGTTTTCGAGCAGTCTGAATTTGCACAGACATGCCTATGCTGCCTAGGTGTTCAGAATATAGGCCTAATGTGACAACATGATACAGTTTTGGTTGGTTTTGGCTTACAATTCACTGTAGCATGCCATTGAGGCAAAGTTGGGAAAGAAACTGAAATTACTGGATTGTATTTAATGAGGGACAACCTGTCCTAAATTCTCAATTACTGAGGGACAATCTACACTCATTGCTATATTTTGCTTTCCACAAACTATGACTTTTTATGAGTGATGCATCCACATAATATTTAAATTGGATCATATTTAAATTTATTAACCTTAGTTTGGGATATTGTAAATTGGGCACTATATGTATTTTTATGATTTCTTAAACCAAATGTTGTACTTTTGGATAATTTAAGCATCATACTTAGATATATAAAAATGCTTTTTAAACCTGTGTGTCAGATAAATGTAACATTAGCTTTAATAAACATTTTTTAAATTGAATGCAGGGGTAATAAAATATTTTCCTCACCGTATGAGTGAAGGGCAGCAGAACTATACTTAGCATGTCATGACTGAGGATTTAATCCTAAACCAAACTTCACTTGCCAAGCAGGGGTTAGGGGTCCCACTGAAGTTGAGTGAAGGATGGGCATAGCCAAAGCTGTAGCAGAAGAGGTATTGCTTGACACCCTCCTCCCCCTTTTAAGGGTGGGAGGCAGATCCATATGAACACATCCTTTTGAATTCTGGATCTTCGCTGACTCAAGATAACCAGCTGTGAGTGGGGTGCATAGGCATGAAAAAAGAGGCATGTTAAAGGGATAATTGTTTGTTGGACTTTCACATGGCAAAATGGGGCAAAAGACAATGTCCGACTGACTGTGGGGTGGGTGTTCATTTATAGTTCCATGCTTTTCAGTATGGGTATGTCTAGACTACATGCCTCTGTCTCCAGAGGCATGTAAATTAGACTACCCGACTGTGACATAGTGGGGGGTACCTTGCTGGTTGCTTTGCTGGGCAGTGGGCTGTGGGTGACCTCCGCTGTCTGCTGTCTGTAGCACAGCCCAGCAGGGCAGGGGATGAGCCATTATGCAAGGGGGCTTCGAACCTGTCTGACCAGTTATCTCCCAGGGAGCGGAACAATGGGAAGAAGGGGAGTGGAGCCCTGGCTGGGGGCAGGACCGGAAGTGAGTTAGTTAAGTTTCGGTCTGGGAAGCAGGGGAGAAGGAGCTAGGGAGGGGGGCTGGGATTGTAGGGCCCAGCCACCCCCCATCTCAAGGGGTGGCACGAGGCCTCTTAGCCCCAGTTCCTGTAACCAGATTACATCTATGCTGTGCTGTATCCTGGAGAAGCAATAAACTCCCTCTATTCTACTGGCTGGTGGAGTCTGTTCATACCACTACGGGGTGCAGGAGACTGGGAAACCTCAACGCGCCGTCATACCGACATAGTCAATGAAGCAGGGATTTAAATATCCCTAGCTTCATTAAAATAAAAATGGCCACCGCGCTGTGCCAGCTCAGCTGATCATTGGCACAGCGCGGCAGTCAAGACGCGGATCGGTCGACAGGGATCGCCTTTGTCAACCGCTCCTGTAAACCTCATTTCACGAGGCATAAGGGAGCGGTCGACAAAGGCAATCCCTGTCGACCGATCCGTTTCTTGACTGCCGCGCTGTGCTGACGATCAACTGAGCCGGCGCAGCATGGTGGCCATTTTTATTTTAATGAAGCCAGGGATATTTAAATCCCGGCTTTATTGACTATGTTGGGTAGTCTAATTTACATGCCTCTGGTGACACAGGCATGTAGTCTAGATATACCCTATGGTTGTGGAGTTTCCCAAGTTAATATTGCTTCCCCTTTCCCTTTTAGTACAATTCTTCTTTTGTTATACACAGACTCAGAACTTGCAAGAGGGGAAGAGTATTACCTTGTAGAAGAGCCCAGGGATGCTGTTGATTTTTTCCAGATTACTGGGTGGGGGTGAGACCTAGTTCTGTTTGATACTGTTAAGAAGAATCTTAGATACTGAATACAGCCCTTGCTGCTGACAACTGGCAGACGAGTTATATTTACCATTTCAGCACAATCTCAATTTCAGTAAATACCCGGGACATCTCTAATATTTCCCACCCCAGGGCAGAATGAATTGTGTTCACCAGTGTGGAGAGGATGTGCAGCGTTTCAACTTCCTATTGGTGCACATAACAAAATTCATGTGGTAGGAGTGGGGCCAAGGGTTCTGAGTGTGGGTGGGGGCTCAGTCCTGGGACAGAGGGTTGGGGTGCAGGATTGTGAGGGCTCTAGCTGGGGGTGTGGGCTGTAGGGTGGGACTGAGGATGGGGGGCATGGGGTTAAAGGGCTCTGGGGATAAGGGCTTTGGGGTGCAGGAGGAAGCTCCAGGCTGGGGTGTGGGCTGAGGCAGATGGTTGGGGTGCAGGAAGAGCTGAGGGCTCTGAGGTGGCCCTGGGGATAAGGGGTTTAGGATGCAAGAGGGGGTTTTGGGTTTGTGGAGGGGCTCTGGTCTGGGATTTGGGGTGCAGGAAGGGGGTACAGCCTCTGGGTTGGGGGTTAGGGTAGAGGAGGGGGTGGATTTTGTGGTAGGACTTGGGTGGGGTCAGAGTGGGGCTGGGGCTTGTCCTGGTCAGTGACACTAAGGCAAGCTATGTGGTGCCTGCTTGTCCTGGGGCACTATGCTGCACCCTAGAAGTGGCCAGCAAGTTTGGTTCCTGGGCAGGGCATGAGGCTCTGGGGCAGTGGAACCCCCATGGCTCCCCTGCCTAGGAGCCAGACCTATTGCACTGGCCACTTCCTCCTTGGCTCCAGGATCTTCCCTGTTGGCTCCACCATAGAGCTGCAACAGGTGGGAGGGAGAGGCCCCTCTCTGCCAGCTCTAGCGCAGAACTGCCCTGGCTGCAACAGCTCCTTGCTGGAGCCAGTGGGGAGCGATCCCTCCCCCGCACCTGCAACAGACCTGTATTGGAGCTGGGGGAGAGGTTCCTTCCTACTAGCTGCAGTAGTTCAGGGTTTGGGGAGAGACATTTCTTTCTGCTGCAGCCCTGAGCCCCTGTGTGAGGCTTAATGGAGACTACGCGCCTGCACAGCCACGCAACTTAGTGGAAACTAATTGTGTTTCTTTTTTAAAGCTGATTTTTATAATGTATTTTTAAGTACTTCTGGGTAAGTATTGTATAATTTCTGGATTTCAAAATATGGTACAGATTTTCAGATGGCATGAATTAGCATAGCTCCACTGACTTAAACATTTATGCTTTTATTGTAGCTCTTTCTCTTTCTAGTATTTATTATTGTAATGCTTGTTATCCATATAAATGTCTAATCCCTCTTTGAATCCTGCTGTGCTCTTGGCCTCAATGACAGCTGGTGGCAATGAGTTCTACACGTTAACTGTGCATTGTGCTATGCAACAGTCCAAAGGCAGTTGGTCAAATAATCAAGCCCCAGAATGTAGACTTGGCTTCCAAAGATGGACATGCACCCTCAGTCAGAACAGACAGTAGAGCACCCACCACGTCTTTTGTCTGCTTCCACCAAGTTTCTCACAGACAGGCATTGTTGAATGTAATTTGTATGGCTCTGTAGCAGAATGGCTTTTCCAGACTGCTCCTCTTGGGCACGCATGGCCATGGACTTTCTAGAATAACTGAAGAAACTATAAAAACAACCAGGAGTCTTGTTGTACCTTAGAGACCAACAGATTTATTAGGTCATGAGCTTTTGTGGGTAAAATCCACTTCATCAGATGAGTTGGAGTGGAAATTACAGAATTTGGGGTATATATAACAGCAAAAGAAGTTACCTCTCAATTGTAGGACCAGCGTTAATGTGGCTAATTAAGTCGGGGTGGATGTGTCTCATTCATAGCATTTGAATGAGGAGATGTGAATATGACATTTAATCTATCCCCAGAAATCTATTCCCAGAAATTCAATTCACTAATTGTAATCAAAATAGTGTTCAAAGTGTAGCACATTTATGATAAAAGGAACATGAAACAAGTAGTAAATAAAAATAACCCAGCACGCAGAATGCTCAGCCTAATAAAGGCAGGAAAGTAAGTTGATAGTTATTGCAGATGAGGTGGTGCAGTAGTATTTTACCACTGTGGGGCTTGGCTAAAATGTAAATGAAGTCAGAAGTGAAGAAATGTGTCCAAGGGTATGGCTACAGCACAAAGAAAACCCCCTAAGTGCTGAGTCTCAGAGCCCAGGTCAACTGAGTTGGACTTGGACCATGGAGCTAAAAATAGCAGAGTAGATATTTTGCTTGGGCTGGAGCCAAGGCTATGAAACCTGGCAATAGGGAAAGGTCTCATAGCCTGGGCTCCAACCCAAATGAGAATACGTACACTGCTGTTGCTACCCTTGCAGCATGAGCCCCAAGAGCCCCAGTCTATTGACCTGGACTCTGAGACTTGGTGTTTTGGGTTTTCTTTGCAGTGTAGACATACCCTGATTGTCTCCATCTTGTTCTAGTAAACATGAGTGTGCATATAAAATTACCTCAGTTTAGAAAGATTGGCAATGTCTGCTCAAAAGAGACTTGAGGCTGGAATAACAGGGGGAATGGTATAGACCAAGGATTAATTAAACAGATTAATGCCATGAATGAGTCAGCATCTGCCTTCTGTCAGAACTCAGCTTTCTCCAGGTTGGGTTGTCTCTGGCAACCTAAATAGCTTGTCTGGGACCAATAAGCTCTAACTAAGTGACTGTGCACCATGGTGAGACAGAAGAGCCAGCAGATTATCATTTAAGCCATGTAACAACAGAGCAGTGACCGCTCCATGTGTCCTACTCCCAGAGCTGCAGACCTGCTTTCTGTTCCAGTCCTTGCTCCAAGCCACTCCTGTTCCCACTCCAGCCCTAGTCTCTATCTTCCTCCATACATACTCTGGTCTCTGTCTTGTCTCTGGACCACAACTCCAATTCTGTTCTGATGCCTGACCAAAGGTGTACCTCCTGTCCAGGACTTCAGTTCCACTTTCTAGTTCTGTTCTGACTTCTGTGCTAAGTGTTGGCTTGTTTCCCTATTTCTCTGGTTCTGCTTTCTGGCTCTACTCCCACCACTAGGCATGACTCCATTCTGACCATTCAGTCACACCACCTTGGTGTGTGAGACTTTGAACATCCCTAACATAAGAAGGAACATTATCCCCAAAGCATGGAAGTCCCCTCTAGAAGGGCCCCAACAGAAACTCACCCTCTCAGATGTACTTGGGGTCCCACAGGAACTATGGACTCAGGTCACTGTGTTATGTGACCAGAATCCCATCCCTCAGGTTTAGATACAAGCCCTGGCAGTGGCTCCTGTCTCCTCCTTCTCCAACTCTCTCATCCACATCCCAGCAGTCTGAGATGCTCCTACCCATTAGTTTAATTGGGACTGTGCTAAGATTTGTGGGTTCCTTAAGCAATACTGTCTCCTATCGTCATGTGGTAGTCACAGTTGTACCCCATGAATTGGTCCAAGGTAGGATTAATAACTAATCTGCTCACAAAAGAGGCCCCAAAATGAGTGTCCACACTCCTGGAGGGCTCCAATCTTCTCTTTGAAAACTTCAAGAACTATGTAGAAAAAATGGTGGGCATCTTTGATTGCCTTAAATAAGAATGATCCTCCACCAGGATCTCCAGACTATCACTAAATATGCAGCTGAATTTCTGTCTGGCCACAGACATCCACTGGATTGAGGCTGTGCAGCGACACCACGTTAGGCAGGGAGCCAATGATTATCAAAGACAAACTAGCATGGGTGGAATCTCTGAAATTTAGGGATTTAATTGAGCTTTGCATTAGGACTGAGTGGGCCTAAGAAAGAATCACACTACCCAATCTTCTGTTGGCCAGAGCTTCCCCCCTATCTTCTATGGCCCCTGTTGGCCTACTAGACTCGGAACTGATACGACTTAACTGATCTAATCCCATCTCTCTGTTGACAAAAAGAGCTGTCATCAGGCATTAGGGTTATGCCTATATTGTGGAATACCTTCAGCATGTTGCAGCAGCATGCTCAGCAAAGGGTCTCAAAATATAATTATAAATGGGGACTCATCATTGAGCGGGTGTGTTTCCAGTGGCATCCTCCAGTAGTCAGTTCTTGGCGTACACTATTTAACAATTTTATCAATGATCTAGAAGAAAACACAAAATGATCATTGTTTACAGGTGGCACAGAATTGGGGAATGGTAAATAATGAAAAAAACCCACAACAACAATAGGTAATTGATATGGGTATGGAACACTTGGCAGGCTGGGTGCAAGAGCCTTTTAATATGGCTAAATGTAAATGTATACATCTAAGAACAAAGATCGTAGACAGTACTGACAAGATATGGGACTCTGCCTATGGGTGGATTAAGGTTTCCTGGGGCTCTAGGCCAGAGCAAGTGAGTGGCTCCTCCTTACCTCTTCCATTTGAGGTCTCACCACCGTTCTGCACCCTCTGCCTATGGCACTGCTCATGGCTCCAGCCATTTCTTCCACTACCCTGGATCCAACCCCTGTTCTATTCACAGTCCTCCTCCATTACCTTCCTCACTGTTGCCTCACAACTCCTTTGCTACTTTCTGGCTTCCCCATACCCACTATGTCCCCAAGACCAGAGAAGCTTTGTTCCCCTGCCATGGCCCAGGCCACAGTGGAGAGTGAGATCTTCCTCAGCTCTGAGGCTGCAGTCTTTAGTGAGAGCTTCTCCATTCTGAAGGCCACAGTGGGGGGCCTGGTTCTGGGGCTTCACCTGCCACTCCCCACATGTCTGCTGGAGGGCAGGCTTAGATGTGGGGGCTTCCATGCCATCCCTTGGCTTCTACTGGGGATAATTGGGGCACTGGGGACTTCCCTTGGTGCCCTGTGGCTTCTGCTGGGGAGTGAGGATTGAGGAGTGTGAGGGCTTCTCCTCTGGGCCCCCTCAAGTTAGCCAGAATCCCTGAGCATGGGTGCTGCAGGCCCAGTGGCTAATCTGACACTGATGGGAAGCTGTGATTCTAAAGAAGGATTTGAGGGTCATGGTTGATAGTCAGCTGAACATGAGCTCCCAGTGAGGTGCTGTGGCTAAAAGGGCCAATGTGATCTTCGGCAGCCTAAGTAGGGGAATCTTGAGAAGTAATAGAGAAATTCTTTTACCTCAGTGTTTGACACTGGTGCTACTGTTGCTGGAATCCTGTGTCCAGTTCTGGGGTCCACAGTTCAAAAAGGATGTTGATAAATTGTTTTGAGAAGATCCATGAGAATGACTAAAGGATTAGAAAACATGCCTTATAGTGATAAATTCAAGCAGCTCAGTCTATTTAGCTCAGACAAGAAGAAGGTTAAGGGGTGACTTGATTACAGTCAATAAGGCTACGTGTAAACTACATGCCTCCGTCGACGGAGGCATTTAGATTAGTTTATTTGAAAAAGGGAAATGAAGCGGTGATTTAAATAATCGCCGCTTCATTTAAATTTAGATGGTTGCCGTGCTGAGCCGACAAACAGCTAATCAGCTGTTTGTCTGCAGATCAGGGCAGTCTAGACGCGCCGCAGTCGACAAGGAAGCCTTTGTCGATCGGCGCAGGTAAACCTTGTCGACCACAGTGCGTCCAGACTGCCCCGATCTGCCGACAAACAGCTGATCGGCAGAGCGGGGCAGCCATTTAAATTTAAATGAATCCGCAATTATTTAAATCGGGGCTTCATTTCCGTATGCCAATCAGTCTAATCTACATGCCTCCGTCGACGGCATGTAGTCTAGACCCACCCATAAGTGTCTACAGTCTAGCAGAGAAAGGCATGACACAAGCCAATGGCCAGAAGTTGAAGCTGGACACATTCAGTCTGGAAACAGGGCATGCAGTGAAGGTACTTAATCACTGGAACAATGTCATGAAGGTCAGAATTTTTCATCTCTGGCAATTTTTAAATCAAAAGTGGCTGCTTTTCTAATAGCTACCCTCTAGGAATATTTTCAAGGAAATTCTATTCGGGAGATCAGACTAGAGGATCACGATGGTCTATTCTGGCTTGTGACCTATGTATCCGTTACCTGGGAAACAATTTCATAAATTGTGTATACTGAGGCTGTCTGTCGGTAAGGGAGGTATAATACTTTTGCTCAGTAATAATGCTGATTGATTGCTAAAGCACTATGCCTCTCAACTCCACTGGAATCTAGCGCAAACTCCCATTTATGATACAGTATCTTTCCAGAGCATCTCTTCTCCAAAAAGCTTTATAAGCATGAATTAATTAAACCTAACGGTACTCCCATGACATGAGAAATGTTATTGCGCCTGTTTTATACCACTTAATTGACTTGCTTGATGCCACAACTTCCAGTTCCATGTGCTGAGCACCAATTCCCACTAGGTCCCTCAGGCTGCAGCTGGCTGTGCATGGAAAGATCCCTAGATTCACACAGAGCCAGTAGCACACTTGCAATCCCGAATTTCAACAACAGCCTGAGAGACTCAGTACACTGTAAAAGATGTATATTACAAATGTATTGGAGCCTCCCCCTTTTTTATCCTTCTCAAAGTAGTGTGTTAGATGTATGATTCCCACTGATTTAGTTAAAATCAATGTGGATAAACGCTTGCCACCTGGGATAGGTTTCTCCTGCTTGATACAACATATAAGAAGCAGGGCCGGCTCACAACATTTTGGCACCTGAGGTGGGGAGCTCAAATGACACCCCATGCCCCCTCACTGCACCAGCAGTAGACACAATTTTCTACACACTGGGTCCTAGTGGCGCCCCCCCCACCTGAGGCGGCCTCCTCAGTTCGTCTCATGGTAAGGCCAGCCCTGATAAGAAGGTTTACTACTGATGACAGACATGCTCAAATTGTTGTTCAAATTATTCTTTTATTATATATTTATAACCCTATGATGACCTTAAACAATGTCACCTAAAGTATTTCACAGACTTGGAGAAAGAAGAGAAAATACACCTATTTTAAAAATATAGCCATCCCTCTGGTTAGATCCTCTGCTCTGAAAATACAAATCAGAGCCTACAAATCAATTTTGGTGTGCTAACTAAAATATCACATGAGAAGCAGGTAATGGAGTGCTTTGTGTGGGTTTTTTTCCTCATAGGAAAACTACTGCTAGACAAGCCAGTAAATTGCTAGCCAGGAAGGTTGTATGTGTGTGAGCTTTATCTGAAGAATCTTATAAATCTTTTCAAAAGACAAGACAATAGGATTTCTTGGTATGTGTTCTAACATGACACCCTTCCTCTGTTGCAATAGACGGTGCAAATTAAGTAATAGAGACAATGGAAGAGCCTTTTTTTATTCCCAACATGCATTAATGAATAGCATGACAAACAGAATCTAGCAAACAGACAAACAGAATCTAGCAAAGGGTTAAGACAAAATTTTATCACAGCAGGAACGCAATTTTTGAATGAGAGTATATCTTACTTTATTCATTGATTAGTTCCCTTTTACTGAAGCATAACCCATGTTCCAAAGTTGCCTTTCAATAGGCCTACAGCACTTTTGTCTTAGGAGTGCTTCCCTGATAACCTCTGAGATAAGATTAGCATACCCTGTCTCTCAGGTTTTTACTGTAAATAATGCTTTTGCAGACTGCACCTGCTTTCAGTGCTGATTTCAGAAACTCTTTGGCTCCTAGGAGTAGTGCTATAGTTGGGGGTGTCCTGGATTTAGGATTCAGGAAATATGATTCATTTTAAAAGAACCCTCAGACCTTGGACTGGTTCTGTGGGATTCCCACGTTTATTATGTTGAAAGATGTTGAACATATTGAATAAATTATACAATAGAGTTGAAAGTTTGGGATTTCCCTGTGTTAGACAATTGGTTACTATGGAGATTAAGATCATTGTTATAAAAAAAGTCGTAGCTCATTATAAAGAATACATTAAAAATATATTGAGTTTTGAGTGACTGTATTTACACACACGTGCTTGAAAAATTAAAAAAAAATGGTTACAGAGATTGGTAGATTGTAGGCATTTAAGTGTAGCTTTTAATAATAAAGGACCAGATCCTCAACTAGTCTAGAGTACAGTTTCTCCATCAATGGAGCTATGTCTGCCTAATGAATAGAACACTGTGTTGGGCTTCGCAGACCTGGATTCTATACTTGGCATTACCAGTGGCCTACTGGGTGATCTTGGGTAGGTCACTTCACCTGTCTGTGCCTCAGTTTCCCCACACATAAAAGGGATACAGTGATATCCTGCCTGGAGCTTGGTCCTGCCTTGAGGGCAGGGGGCTGGACTCGATGACCTCTCGAGGTCCCTTCCAGTCCTATGATTCTATGATTCTATGATATTGATGTAAAACACTTTCATATCTACCAATAAAGTGCTAAATAAGAGCTAGATATTATTTATACTAGCTGGAGATTTAGCTTGGAACCTCCATCTATTTATGGCAATACCAGTGTTTTTATGTTGAACTCTATTTTTCAGTAATGTGTAATTTCCCTGTAAAATTTCTCTTGGTAATGAAACTTTGTATAAGGGGGGAGCTAGATCTCCAGCTGTGAAGTCAATCTGGCTATACCAATTTATAGCAGCTGACAATCAGGCTCAGAGTCTGTCATTTGTTTTTAAAGACATTTTGGAAGTAATTATTTATTACGTGTTCTAATATGTACTTTCCTGGTAGACTGCAGACTATAGGTAGTTACATCAGACTACAGTCAAATTGTCACATTTTGAGGACACTTGCAGAAAGGCACTTGCATAACAATCTGCATTTGCATGTAACAGTTACTACTTTTATATGCAGTTTTCTTTTCCAAACAAATATGTTTTGAGCCAATGTGAATGAATGTTCTTGTAAATATTATGCATGTACTTTTAGAGGCTTCTTTGGAAATTTGTCACTTAATGCATTAAGTATGTATTACTTAATGCATTTGCAGTATGTTTTTGCTACATGCAAAATGCTAAAGTCTATGAGGTAAGACACACAGAAGTGGCCATTAAATAGGAGCGCCAATTTAGAAAAAAAATTATGACCCCTGTGGAATTTCTTATTGGATTGAACAGGAGATATTGCTCCACCTCTTACAAATTTCATTGTTGTCCAGAGGTCAAAATGTTATTTTAAATTGCAAGTTGCAACTGTACATATGTCGATGAAAAGTATTTAACTGTTTTTAAATTTAAAATCGCCTTTATTCCACAAATGAAAATAATATTAATGGCTGCAACAAGGGATTCAAGGCAGAAAATTCTGTGCTTAAACCATCTTCTTTTATAAGGCATGTGAAAGTATTATTCAGAATTAGGTTCACAGAATTTTGGCGATGCATAGGACTCTAGTTCAAACTATGTGTAAAACAACTTCATCAGTGAACTTTCCCATGCTAGAATTTTGACACTGTGCTTCCCTTTGTATTGTGAAATCTATTTGTTAAGACTATTTCCCAGCCTTGCTTTGGATATGTATTTCCCATGGAACCCTGCCCTTTATATTAGAGGTGAATAATTAGATCATAAGGTTTAATATTGTTATGCAACCTGCCAAGGTTTTGCACACTTTCACCTGTGAAAGGTGTTGTTGGTCACCTTAATGATTGTGTAACACTGAGTCTTATTTTTCCCTTGGGAATCAATCTTAGGGAAGCATCATTCATTCAATGTGTGACTTTTCTTTGAGAGTTTAATAAGTGTCCCCGAAGACAAAAAGTTGTATTGTAAAACTAGACCGACAAAGTCTCTCACACCTTAAAAATGGGTTCCACTCCTTTTTGCTTAAGGAAAAATTAAAAACAAAACAAAAAAGTACATTTATGCCCAAAAGGGATTTCTCACTGCATTGAGGATATATATATATACACTATCAACCTACACAAATCACACTAGAGACTTAGTGACGTTAGCTTCTGTGTAACACGAAAACCACACTTTTGTCATAATGATTTTAATGGGGTTTGCAGTATTAAATCCTCTTTGAAAAGCTCTTTGTACTAGGATTACCTTAATTTAATACTGTGTCAAAAGTCATAAAAATGTAGGG